AAATGATTCTATGATTCTAAGATTTCATCCAGGCAAGGGTGGCAAACCAGCAAAGAACATTCTGTTGTATCTCCTGGCATGATTGTTTCTTAATATTTCTCCTGTTTAGATGACATGGGGAAAGGGATCTCACTCCCAGCATCCACCCCTCTTCTAGCTGTCACCAGTGCAATTCTCAGCAATAATCAATAGAACCCTTCCCCCTGCAGCTGCCCAAGATGCCAGTTTTCCTCATTAGGCAGAGATCAATACCAACCCTTAAGTTAATAATATATTAGGGTGGTATTGTGGCAGCTGGCCCTGCCTGTCTCACAGATTGAAATGAGCATTAAGGTTCCTTGGAATGGAGGAGAAGGCAGGGGGCAGAAATCAATAGCATTGATTTCAGCATCACTTTTTGAAAAGACTGATCATCATCTCTGCTGGCCCTGGCAGGAGCCTGTTTTCACTCTTTCTTATTACACTCCCAGGCCTGTCCAGGGGAATTAAAAAAAAAACAAAGCAAAGAGTTGCTTAGATTTGCTCACCTGAAGTCTGCAGCAAGAGTGAATGCTGTGGGATAGATGCTCTGTGCCACTCTCAGAGTCACCTTATGGCCTGGAAGACTCTGGCCTCGTGTCAGATGGAAAAGTATTTTCTTTATGTTCATTTGAAAAGTTGAAAAATCCAGGCCCAAAGACAAGGGCTGGGAAAACGTTCAGATGGTTTTTTTAGGATACTCTTTAGCCGAGCACCTTAAGACTCTCAGGAGCAATATTCACAGTTATTATGTGTTGGGTTGGTGGAGGCCAGACTGGTGGACACCAGCTGAGGAGCTGGCTGGCTTCTGTCTCACCCACTCCCAATTTCAGTTCCCAGCAAGCTGCTCTTTTGTGGTGATCCAGAAGGATGTTGCTGATGGAAAAAAAACACAGTGTTGTAGCAGCGGGTGGCAAATCCTACCCACGTTTCTGTCTGAAAGGATGGTGAGCTGCTGCTAGGACTAAACTCCTGTGTTTCCACTGCACATCAGGCTCCATTTCATGGCTTTTTCTTTTGTGTTCCCCAGTGACTACAGGTATGTGGCTGCTGCTCTGGCTGTCATGAGGAACGTGACCCTGCAGATCAACGAGCGGAAGCGGAGGCTGGAGAACATTGACAAGATAGCTCAGTGGCAGGCCTCTGTTCTGGACTGGGAGGTATGGTCAATGCTCAGCCCTCCTCCACGTGCTGTAGACCTGGGAGAAGAAAATTCCCTCCCATTGAATTAGCCAAGATCATATAATTCATCTCACACCAGCTGGGTTTGGGATTAAGCTTGGGATGGAGAAGATGTGGTTACAGAGTGTGGAGATAGTGCTTAAGCTGTAAACCTTAATGGTAAATTAAGAAAATTGAGGCTCCAGTTCCAAATTCATCAGTAGAAAGCAAGATTTAAATCAAACTCAGTATTCATTCTAACTCTATGCTTTGTCCTTGGGGAGGAAGCAGGGAAAAGAGCAAAAAGCCCCTAAACATTCCGACAGGCTAAGGAAATAGAGCAGACTCTTCTGGTGGTTGCTTTGTGATTAGATGCCAAAACATTCAGCTGAAGTGAGAGATGCTATTTGCACATTTAAAATGAGTACCCACTTAAAGATCTTTCTGCACCACCCCTGTGTGTAGTGATTGTATAATGGAGGAGCTGAGGAACACAGGCAAGGCAAAGTCAGCAGAGGGATTCCTCACTCCCAGCCCTTCAGGCTCCTGCATTTTTTTTACCATGTGCTTAAGCCATACTAAAATTACATTCTCCTTTTCTTTTTGCCTCTGATTTTTATTTTTTTCTAAATCATTCTATGACTGTAAACTGTAAATAGGGTTTTTGAGGCTGACTGAGGACAGATGTTTTTGTCCATCTCTTACGTTGTCCTCGATCCACGTGGTTATCCAAGTAGATGCTTAAAGGGATGGAACAGCCTTTTGTCTTCCTCACATCATGAAGATGTGGAACAACTCCACGTTCAAGTCAGTGAGGTTATATTATGTAAACTACTGTATGGAAAAGATGCACTGATCCTTTAATTATTTTTATTTTCTGGAAAAGATGTAGGAAGGCTGAGAAAAGAGGGAGAAAAATACAGGTGCATCCCCTTCTGATGGGGTATCCTCCTTGACTGAGTTAGTTTAAGTGCCAAGAGGAAGGTTGGGTCCAACCCAGGATCTCTTGATAGAACATCTAAAAGCAGCAACCATAGCTGGGTCTTAAATTATGACTGGCTGGGAGAGCAGAGAATGCACAAGATTTGCTTGATTGTTTTATTGCTGTTCACCATGAAGAAACCTCTCTCCCACTGACATGCAGACTCCTTTCCAGAGTTTGGAAGCTGCTCTCAAGGAGGCACAGGACCATCCCATGCATCTTCAGTAGATTCCATGTGATGAGCTAATGTGTGTCATTTGTAAGGGATGCTGAGAGCCTCGTGGTAAATAAATCGAGATTAAGGACGGATCAGTTCCAAGTCAGTGAATATTCATGTGTGAGTGGAAAGCCAAGGTGACCTCCATGTAGGATCTGTGGAATAGCCATTTCTTTTTCTTTTCCATTAGCTCAGTTGATAATTCATTTTTATTTAGCCATATCCTTGATAGTTCATTCCTTCTTAGCTTTAGCCATGTCCTTTATAATTCTTTCCTGCTTAGCAGTACCAATTCTTTATCTCCATCCTGTCCTCAGGAACTTGCCAAATCATTCTTCCAGACTTTTTTGAACTATTCTGAGTTTTAAGCACACTATTGCAGCAACATCTTTCAGCTCCTCATAGTACAGCAAAGCCTGATGTTGCTACCACTCAGAGATCTGATGGGAATGGAGCTGCTGCCCCCATTCAAAGGAAAACACCCTTCTTGCCACTTTTCTTCTGTATTTTGGATCAAGAAAAGTCATAGACTTGTGCTGAAAACACTAGAGGATGAGAGCTAGATCCAACAGAGGACTTCACTGCTTGATTCTGTCCTCTGAAGCAACTTCTGAACCATCAGCTTCAGCCCCTGCTTCAGAGGTGTCCACGTAATGGCCAGAAGGATGCACAGACCCCCAAAATACTCACAGGTTAGTGCAAGGCAGGGAGAGAGCAGGAGGAATCAAAAGCAGAGCTGGGTGCTTAGATCTGTCCTAGTTCTGTGCAGATGCTCCTTTTAGGCATTGCAAAGCCAGGCTGCTGACCTCCAAAATCCCTCCTTGGCTGATGTCTGTCTGCAGAACATGCCTCCCAGGGCAGAGGCCATCAGGGGCTGATTGCTCACCCAGCCTGTGAGGAAGGGTTCAGGCCCTCATCTTCTCCACACAGGGAGTAGAGGAGGGATTTCCTATGTCTCCCTGGCCTCTTCCAGTCTGTGGGGATCATGCATTTATTATCTGCTCAGAGAGTAGAAGGCCACAACTCCCAGTTGATCTTTGCTGGAGGATGCTCAGCTGAGAGGGGGGGGTGACCTGCTGTCAGCTTTGTGCTTCTGCAAACGTTGATCCAGTTGATATCCAGTGCTCAGTGAAACAGAGAGAGGGACCTACAGCATTCCCATCATCCTGTGGCCCTGTTCCTGCTCTGATGAGAGCCTGGATCCCAAATCAGTCCCTTTCTGCCCCTTGTTGTGGCTTCTCAGTCTCTCCAGCCCACCCAGCAGCGCAGACGAGCAGTAGCAGCATGGACCTGGGGTTTACAGCACAGCCTTCTCTGAAAAAAAACACTAAGCACAAGAAGGCAGGAATTAGGAGAAAAAAAACAATTCAGACTTTTTTTTTAGCCAGGGCACGAAGTAGAGAGAATCCCAAATTCCCACTGTATGTTGCACTGAGTGAATTATTCCAGCAGCACCCAAAGCTGAAGGTTTAAGCCTGTTGAAATCCTTCATTTGGAGCAGTGTCTGGTTTGCCTCAGCATCCCTCGAGGAGTGATGTTGCCTCTCTGATTAGAAGTTGCATTTTCATGTCTAAATTTACCCATGTTTTGCAATGAGATGCTGGGAAAAGGGTGTTTTTAAAAAGAAGAAGCAAAAATCCAAACCAAACAAAATATAGTCAGCGAGAGAATATTGGAAGTGTTCTTGTACACACACAGTGTGTGTACATGTTTTCTTTCAAGGAGAGGGTGTTAGTGGTAAAATATACATATTGCTGAGCCTAAAACAAATAGAAGAAGGAAGGGGCTGGTCCCAACTAATTGAAGCAGCAGTGTTTTTAAAAAGAAGAAGCAAAAATCCAAACCAAACAAAATATAGTCAGCGAGAGAATATTGGAAGTGTTCTTGTACACACACAGTGTGTGTACATGTTTTCTTTCAAGGAGAGGGTGTTAGTGGTAAAATATACATATTGCTGAGCCTAAAACAAATAGAAGAAGGAAGGGGCTGGTCCCAACTAATTGAAGCAGCAGGAATATATCCCTCAAGATTTCCTGCGTGGCCCCATGAAGGTGAACTCCAGGGTCAGCGTTTGGAAATCATGAATATCATGGAGTTAACCCAAGCCAGGCTTTTTTTTTTCCCCCAGTAAGTCAGGGTGTGATGGTTCCAGTTACAAATGGGCCCGAGGAAGGGTGGCCTGGCTGGGGTGGCAGCTGGTAACCGTGCTGTGGCAGCCAGGGTGTGAACCCTGAAGGAATTATTGGCACCTTTGGCAGCTTTCTACAAGTCATGACTGAGCAGAAGGGAAGATTCAGATCTCACTGACTGCTGTAAATGAGAAATAATCCCAATCCCTGGGAAATGTTGTCCCTGTGTAACTCACAGGAACGTGGTCTTGACCGAAAAGCCCAGCTTGGACTCTTGCCACGTGTGACTCACTTCTTTATTTTCTAACCTGAATTTCCAATGCACAAACAGAGCTAGAGAGGTGCTGCTGCTGCCTACACCGAATTCTCTAGTGCCTTTTGTCCTTTCAGCTGTTAATGATGCAGAATGTAGGGCTTCCACCAGCTCCTGCTGAGACCTTTCAATGTCTGAGAGCTCTCGTGGTTATGAAGTGTTTCCTGATGTTCAACCTCTATTTCTCTTCACTCAGCATCATCTCCTTGCTTGTAGTTAAATGCCCTCAGATCAAACCCGTGACATTTAAAGGCAGGCAGAGGCAATACTGGCACACAGAGTTAGCTGGAGCTGCTTCTTCACAACAGCCTCCAAAGTCTTCTCTGAACCAGACTTCAAAGGGGCCAGGCAGAGCCCATCCCGGGCAGCCTTTACAGGCTCAGTCCCTTCTTGTGCTCCTGCCCTCTCAGAGAGCTACAGATCTCAAAAGTTTAGTGGGTAATATCTAGATCTATCCACAGACATGACAGTACTATAAAGAGATTGTTTCCACAAAGCCCATCATCATTGCCAAGTCCTTGCCAGCCCAAATTTAGGCAGTGCTGTGTTCACAGGCACACAAGTGAGGCAGCGAGGAGGAAGGAGCAGCCTGTCATAGAATTGTTCTGGTTGGAAGAGACCTTTAAGATCATCAAGTCCAGTCCAAGTCTGGCACAGGAGAGAACCTTGCCTGTCAGCCTGGATTAATTCTGATTTACTATTGAAGCATTAATTTGGTTTATGGAGGTATCTGGATATTTCCACCAAAGGTTCAAGTGGCTCGCCACTTTGGCAGGTTTCAAGAGCATTGCATTTGCATGAAAGGAAAAATATATAGAATTAGGAAATCTCATGGACACTGTCCTTTGAAATTTCTTCCCATTCTTGTTATTTACAGGTCCTTTAAATCAAGACTCAGTGCCCTTAATTATGTAATGTAGAATAGTTGGCCTCAGCCTCATACCACGTTGTTGAATCCAAGAATGACATGAACAAAAAGCTGCATGCAGCCAACGTGTGCTTTTCAAAGTGAGGACAGGCTGATGAGAAATCCTCCTGGGATTAAAAAATTGCATCAGGGACTGAAACAGATTCTGGTTCTTTTATTTTTCTCCTTCTTCTTCCTGTTGTTTTTGTTTTTTTTTTCCCCCCCCAGCAACAGACAGGACGAAACGGAGCCTGATGAGAGGGACATTTCTCTTGCTTTCCTTTTTCTGATCTTTCTGTAGCCCAGAGTGCTAATCAGCCTGTCAATCTCTAATTAAAGAGGAGCAGTGTCAGGCAGGAGAGCGTGGGCTGGAGGGGGGGATTCTGTGCCCAGCAGTGACAGCCAGGAGCCACCTCGGGAGCAGGGCTGCTGAGCCTGGGACAGCATCTCCCCAGGGTTTGCTGGTGGGAAGGAGGTGTGGGGCAGACTGGGAGGTGGGACCTTCCCTTCCACGTCACCTTGGTGCTCCCAAGGCATTTCTGTCACGACAGCAGTGAAAAGCCTTTGGTTGCTCCCAGTTCCCTGCTCCAGAAGGTGGTGGCTTCTGCAGCATCATCTGCAGCATCATTGGCTGGACGTCGTGGTGCAGCAGCAGCAGCAGATCTGACCCTCTGCTGCAACAGGCAGGAGTAGCCCTAGGACTTGGATGTGTCATGCCAGCTCTGGCAAGCTGGAGGGAGCATGAGGCACACGTCCAGCCCAGATCTGGGTGACCTTCTGCTCCCACTGCTGCACACTAAGGAGCTGGACTCTGCCTGGGAGTGCAGGAAGAAGAGAGGAGTCAGCTTCCTTCTTGCTGCCCTTTGATAGGATGCACAGGGAGAACCTGAGCTACAGGCTGAGGAGGGCTGAGGGTTTTTCTCAGAGGATAACCCTGGTTGGAAGAGACTGCAGGAGATCATCTTGTCTTCTCTTGGCCATTTGACTGCTGGGCTCTGCTGAAGTCAGCAGGACAGCTGCCAGTTCAGGGTAACTAAAACTTTTTGAGCAGTATTTCTCTTAATTTCCAGGAGGATATAGATGATCCAGCCTCTTGGGGAAAAAAAAATGGAAAAGACATTTTTATATCCCCAGTTTTATATAGAATTGGAGGGATCCAGCCTAGGACTGGGAGAGGCATTGCAGAGAGCTTGGCCAGCCACGTGCTGCTCCAAAACTATTTACAACAGATATTTCCAAATTGGCAAAGCCAGCACTGGAAATCATCTATTTCTAGCCTATAGACTGTATATAGAAATTGTTTTCCCAACATAAAAACCACAATATAAATCCTATCATTGCAGATCTGGGGTTTTTCTGGTTTATATTGCTTGCAGGGACTATACAGTTTGGATTTAGCTAATCAAGTAGAAGTGTTTACAGAGTCCTCTGTGTCCCCTCAGGCTTGAGATGCTACCACAGGAGTAAAAGACAAAACTGGCTTTCTATTTTTAGCAGCCAGCCTCTCCTAGGCTCGCCCCTCTCATCAAACCTCCCATCCACAGGCTTGTGTGAATCTTCTTTCTGTAAGCTCCTGCTGAGCTTATAAACCCCACAATTTCTGGAGCTGGTGTGTTTTCTTCAGAGGCTTCTTATTCAAGGGCTTGTATATGCCTGAGGTGTTGCAGACAGCACTGGGACCCAGTTTCTGGCCAGGAGGTCCACGGCTGAAATCAGACCTTAACATCACAGTCTTGAATCATAGAATCACTGAATCATCTTGGTTGGAAGAGACCTTTAAGGTCATGGAGTCCAACTGTTCCCCCAGCACTGCCAGGTCCCCACTGCCCCGTGTCCCTCACCCCACATCTGAGGGGCTTGGGAACCCCTCCAGGGGTGGGGACTCCACCACTGCCCTGGGCAGCCTGGCACAAACCTGGACATCCCTTTTGAAGAAGATATTTTTCCTAACCTCCAATCTAAAGCATCCCTTCTGGGAACAACCCTCTGTGTTCCTGGGAAGTTATCCCTAATGCCTTCAGCTATCACTGCCACCCAAGTGAGCCAGGGAGGTGGATAAATACCTCACGAAGGCGTTTAGAAGGTCTGTGCTGTAGCCTGATGATGTGGTGACTTAATGAAGCTGCTGTTGTCACAGGGCCCAGGGACTCAGGCAGTCACTTCCAATCAATGCTGAGAGGTTAATTACCCATTTACCTGAAGAGCAGTCTGAAATCCTCACCCAGAAATTAGGAGTGGGGGTTGAGTCTTGGTTACTTTGGCACCTACAAGCATAAGTGGTAACAAAAAAGCCTCTCTGTCTAGATGCCCCCCATAGCTGGCTGAACCTTTACAAGCTGTGTGCTGAGATTTTGGGATGGTCTCGTCCCAGAAATTGGTTCTAGTTTGGCATCCAAGCCAGAACTGCACTAGTTTCAGAGCCAAAAAGGAAAAAAAAAAACCCAAATAAAAAGCTGTTCTCTCCCTTGCTTCTGAATCCAGCTCCTTACCTTGTAGCTGAAGTCATCCTGGTGCCTTCTGTGGTGTTGCAGAGCAAGACACACACTGAGATGCCCACAGGGCAGGTGGTGGTGAATTCACCCATTTTTAATAAATAGATTTTAATTAACTTTTAAAAAAGTCCAGCTCATCCCAATTAGTGGAGGGTGACTGCGTTTGTTCTCTCCGAGAGTGGGAGAGAGAGTGCTGTGTTTTCAAGACCATCTGCTCATGAATCCTTAAAAAAAAACTGAAGAGGAAAACAAGCATTAGCTGGAGGCAGAGGAAGGGTGAGGGCATTCTGGCAACCAGCCTGGGGGGCCAGAGGAGCCAGGGTGGTCCTGACAGCTTTTTGGAGATGGGGGAGCCCTAATGAGCTGTGGGAGAAGGGATTGTAGTTGCCTGAATGAGTGGGAAGAGAGGCAGGAGACTGGAGGGGTGAGTTTGGATGCTGGAGGGGGAATTGATACCCTGGTGTAGATGATTTCAGTGGCCTGAGATGGCAGGAGGGGAGGTGCCTTGGGGTGCCAGGGAGTTTGTTCCCCTGAAAACAAAGTGGCTCAGTCATGGGCAGGAGGAAGGAGCTTTGCTTTCAGGCTGCCCCCAGCACCTGCAGTGAGATCCAGGGGCTGGGGCTACCTGGAGAGTGGGAAATGGGGCTGGTGCCTGGAGCAGCTCCATCCCCACTGCACTCTGAAGTGGAACGACCAAGCTTTGAGTGTCCACACCTCCTACCTTTATTTCCATTCCTTCAGAACCATCCCCTATCTCCATTTGCCGGTCCGAACTCAGCCAGGGTGGCTTGGAGAGCCTCAGGAGGGCCAAAATGTTATTGAATTCTTGCCTGTCCGTGTCCTGCCAAGAGAGCTGTGCCCTGTGCCCTGCCTGGGGGTGGTGCCTCACTCGGCCTCCTTCTCTGTGCCCTCCAGGGAGAGGATATCTTGGACCGCAGCTCGGAGCTGATCTACACGGGGGAGATGTCCTGGATTTACCAGCCTTATGGACGCAACCAGCAGCGAGTTTTCTTCCTCTTTGATCACCAGATGGTTCTCTGCAAGAAGGTAAGGACATCCAGGGAGAGCTCAGCACGCCTAAGGACGTGCTGCAGGCACAGCCTTCCCAGCCCAAAGTGTTTTTTTTAGGGCAAGGTGGTGGTTTGCTCCACGTGCAGAAGGGGACGTGGGTAGCGCTGGGGAAGGGTGACCCACATGCTAGAAATACTGAGCTGTGGGATGGGGAGTACACAGTGAGGGAGGGATTTTTATGCTCCTTGTAAATCCAGCTTCCACTTGTTCATTTTGTGCCTTTTTCTCCTGCCCCCCTTGTTTGGCTCGTTGCCTCACTTCTGCTGCTGGCTGCAGAGCATGATCTGGGATTAGATAGCCCTGGAATTTATTTCTCTAGGAGCTGTGAAGCCTGGCACTTGGGCAGACAGCTCAATTACTGCCTTCAAATGACAATTGCTGCCTCTCAAAGCAATAGCAGGCAGCAGCTTGGTCAGTGGCAGGGGTGTGTGTTGCCCACGTGCATTTCCAGCCTCGTCCTGCTGTAGCTGCTGTGCTGGATTTTGGAGGGTCTCTCTCTGCCATGAAGCCCACTGTGAAGGTAGAGGAAGAAGCACAGAATGACAGACTGGTTTGGGTTGGAAGGGATCTTTGAAGGCCATCTCATCCAACCCCCCTGCAGGGAGCAGGGACATCCCCAGCTAGAGCAGGGTGCTCAGAGCTCCATCCAACCTCCCCTGGGATGGTTCCAGGGATGGGGCAGCGACCACCTCTCTGGGCAGCCTGGGCCAGGGGCTCACCACCCTCAGTGTAATGATGTTCTTCCTTCTCTCTGGTCTAAATCTCCCTCTTTGAGTTTCAAACCATCCCCCCTTGTCCTGTCCCAACATGCCCTGCTCCAAAGTCAGTCCTGAGCTTTCTGACAGGCCCCTTGAGCCCCTGGAAGGCCACCAGAAGGTCTCCCTGGCCACGCTGGGGTCTGCCCACACCGATGCCAACACGTCGTAGCATTCACAGCAGCAGGTGAGCCATGTTTCAGAGCAGCTCTTCAGCAGCATTGCAGCTGAGGTGACCCCAGCTCCTGACCATCCCAACTGCTGAAGTGGCAGAGCTGCCAAGCCCTGGGTGCCCCATCTCCTGGGTGACAGGGGTTCCATGGGGTGGCACGGTGCCCACGCCTCGCAGGGACCCGCTCCGGGTGGGATGGAGGGGTGGGGGGCAGTCCTGCCAGGCCAGGCACCCCAGGGCTGCCTTCCAGCCACGTCCCCTGCTCTGGGGAAGGGCTGGGGGTGCACAGCAGCCCCCCCCAGAGTGCCCTGTGCCGTGGGTGGCACCGTGGGTGGCTCCTGAGTCACCGTGGTGGGGCCGCCGAGCTGTGCCCTGTGCTGGGCTGTGGGTGGCCCTTTCTTCTCCTGAGTCATGCCTGACTGAAGTTTTACCTTCTGTGGTGCATGGGCTTGTTTTCCCCCTCCTCATTGCTGTCTTTTACTTCTTCCCTGGCTCCATTTAAAAGCAGAATAACCAGAGCTGAGCAGTCCCAAAGGCAGATGTTGGGAGAGCTGTCAGAACTGTTCCAGGAGCTTGGGGCTGGGGTTGGTTTTCAGTCCTGACCTCCTGCACTTTGGTTGTGATCCTGAATTTCCCATTCATAGGCAGCATCCAGCTCAGCTTGCACTGGGTCTGATCCAGAGAGGTATTGAGGATTCCCTTAACTCCCAGGAAAGGCAGAGGTGGCATTGCCATGGTCAGCAGTCTGGGGGGGCATGCAGCAGCTCACAGCCAGCTGCTGGGGGCTCAGGGGGCTCTGTCAGTGTCCAGATGCTGGCAGAGTGGCACTGTCCTTGTCCCTCACACACTCCAGAGGTGTTCTGTGTGTGGCACAGGAGATGCCTTCAGGGGGGAACTCCCTGTGGACTCTCCCTGGCTCAGCACGGAGGGTTTGGGGCTTCCTGGCAGAGGTTGGCTCCGTGTCAGGATCTGGCAGATTCTTCTGCTCCCAGCCCAGGTCTTGTGGGACTGTGCCCCCCCTCAGCTTTAGGGTGGTAACTCTGGGGTCATGGCACAGGGCTCACACCTCATTGTAGGTTTTCCTTCTGCATCTCTTTTTCCTGCATCAAACTGCAGTTGTTGTTTCTCAGAGCATTGGGGTTGGGGGAGATGGGGTTGCAGCTGGACTCACCCACCTTGATAATGTTTTCTTTGAATGTTATTAAGAAAAATTGAGAACAGCATCCAGAGAAGTGTTAGCTCACATTTTGGGATCACGAATCCCACATAAAATAAACCTGAATGATTTACAACCTGCATTGTCCTGACCCTTGTGTCAGGTTTGCTGTTACAGATCCCAGCAGGCAACCCTCTAGCAGGATAACCTCTGCTTTGGAGCCAGAGCACCATGTCCTGGGGCTTCTTTAGTGAAGCAGCATGTCTATTGTGGTGCTGGAAGCTGGGGCCACCCTTCCCTACCCCATGCTTTAAAATTATTCTCTGAGGGATAAGAGATGTGACCCACAGATGCCCAAGAGCAAGGAGAAGACTGCAGGTCTGTAGGGGTGCTGCCCACCCCTGGCCCTGGGTGATTACCTGGCTGATGGTTTGAGAACAGTCATTAATGTGGCTATATTAAACCCTATGACTAAATTAATATGACTATAATGAACTAGTCAGTCATGGAGCTGAGCTGTCAGGAGAGGAGTGATGGTCCTGGTGGGATCCAGCAGGAAAGCTCAGCCCCTTCCCTGGTTGCCTGTGTGAGCTCCACTGCCTCAGAGTGGGAAATCCCAGCTGCATTTCCACAGCCACCACCTCTTGGAGAACTTGATGGGACTTCAGGCAGAGACCTCCTTTGTGAAAATGAGTAATTAAGTAGGGCTGCCTTCAAAGGTGCTTGACAGAGGTTATCCCCACCAGTGTGGGTATGTGGAAGCCTCTCTTCCAGGCAGGAAACTTGCACTAAGATTTATGAGGTGCAGGACTAGGAGCAGTAGCAGGTGGAGAAGCTGACACGATGGCAGGCAGCTTTCCTTCCTGGCAAACACCTCACAGAACAAGTTGTGTGGGAGAATTTTCACAAATAAAACCAGTTTCTGAGCATTGCAAAGCTTCAGCTTAGATGTTGCCATCTGAGACAGCCCTGGTCGCTTCCTGATGCCACCAGTGAATTCTGTTCTGGTGCTAGGAAGGGAGAGGTTTAATCAGCTGAAGTGGCCATGTCAGCTAGTCCAGCATTCAGCAGAGTGCTGAGATGCTGGTGGAGGTAGGTGGGTGCTGCAGAACATCTCCAGAACCTGTGTCAGAAGGGGGGAGTGCAGAGTGACTTCAGATGCCTCCATGAAGAGCCACTGGGAGAGCCCCTGATTTGGAGTTTCTTTGCAGAGCTGGGGTAACGTTCAGCTCCTGGATGAACATCAGACTCTCCTGGTGAGTTTTCTGCCTGTGTTTCCTGAAGCAGAGGCTGGGGGGTTGCAGTGTGCAGGAGGACAGAGCAGTGCTTGCTTCAGAGGAGACTTGTCAGGTGGTTACCTTCATTTGGAAAGGAGGAAGGGGATAAACTGTGTAGGAAGCAAGTGCTGGCCTCAGTTTGACTTCCCATATGCCCATAATCAGGATTGAAGAACACCCATCCCAGTGTGCTAACAGCAATTACCAAGAAATGAAGTCAATCCTTGATGATGGCAGCATTAAAAGCTGTTGCCTTAAAGGCACAGGGTCTATTTTTCTTCTCCCCTAGAAGCTGAGAGAGAGAGAGATGCTTTAAATTTGCAAGTCACAGGACTTAGCAGCCAGGCCTGTGAGACACCCCATTAATTCTGACCATGGCTCGTTGGGTTGGGGGGTGCTCGAGGTGTTTAATTGTGTAATAATGAGAATTTTCCTTTTCCTGCTCTGGGATTTGCCCAAGGGGCTGGAGAGCACCGTGGCATTAGGCTGGAAGTGACAGTATAAAGGGTTAAACAGGGTTTCTGCCCCAAATTATGCTTTTCCTTCACCAGTAGTCAAGGAGTCGTTGATGGGGCTCCGTGTTTAGTGTTTTCTGACAGTGCAGGAAGATCAGTGACTGCAGGAAACACATTTTAGTTTTCATTTGCACTTTTCATGTGTCTCTTGTAATCAGGAGGCAAGGAGAGCTCCAGCTTGTGGTTTATTGCTCTTGCTGTCTTCCCTTGAGCTCGCAGAGCAAAGCAGGTTGGAGGAGAAGCAAAATGAGACCAGTTTCATAGCCATAGCCAGACAGTCAGCCAGAAATAGCTGTGCTGCAGGAGACAGAGTAAATAAAATAATCCTGTCAAGCTCCATCGCAGTGCAGGTTTCCAAATGGGGAGATAAAAGAGACATTTCTGAGCCCTTTTAGGGTAGGAAGGTCTGGTCCCCCCATCGCTGCTGTTAAAAACACTGAGGTCATCTTTGCACCAAAACAACGGCCCCGCTTTTATTGCAGGCTCAATGGGTCTCACAGGGCTCACCAAAAATCTTGTTTGCAAACACAGAGCAGCCCTGGGACAATTCTTATTCCTTCAAGTGGTTTTCTGACCCACGAGGAGCACCGTTTGACTTCTGCAGCACCTCCCAGCCCTTCTTTCTCCCTGCTGGTAGCACAGATCTGGCTCGAGGGCCACGTTTTGGGTCAGGCTTGAGTCCAGCCTGCAGCAGGGGGGGAAAGTGGGTCAGGCTGTGTGTCACTGCTCCCAGACAGCAGCTCGGTGGCCTGCTGCTGTCAGAACTAGTGAGACAGCACTAGCACCAGCGTGGGGACGAGGAGAGAAGACACACTGGTGTGGTCACAGCCCCAGAAGCCAAGCAGCAGCTGTGGATTTGGGAGCCCAGCGTTTCCCCAGCCCTGTGTTCATGCCCAGCCTCTCTGTTGGTGCTGTCTGCAGACAAGAGGGGTCTGTGGGGCCAGACCACAGACCAGAGCAGGGAAGTTCAGCCCTCCTGTCAGCCTCCTTGGCTAGCAGGTAGCTGGCCACCAAGGATGAACTCCAGCAATTGACAGGCTGGATATTTAAAATGGTTATGAACAAGTACTTCAGCTTTCAGATGCAGCATATTGAAGGGAA